TTATACCAGCCATCTCTGCCTCTGATGCAGTTTATGCATTAAAGACAAATTATATCTGTTTGTGTCCCAAACTTGGGTTTTAATATCAAAAAGTAAAATCTTACCGGCTGTTTCAAAATGCCTGCTAACATGACTGTCGGACTCAAAGCTGCACATGGTTCCACATGTCCAAGGACACTTAAAAACTAACAAGTTTGACATCTTAACATCCGTTTTATAACCACATGCTGCGAGACATTGTCATCAAATTAGAAACTGCTACAGAATCTCTCATTTGCTGCACCGTAAGAGCACACCAGGACAAATCCTCAGCATAATCTCATTTCCAAAGAGATCTGCAGACATTCAGCTCAAATGATATTCACACTCATCAACAATCACCTGAACTGACAGTGACGTGGGCCTCTAATTAACTTCTTCAGGGAGCAGAAGTGGAATTATTATGCTTCATCCAATCACTTAGTAGACGCTGGTTTCGGGGTCAAGAGAGCAAAACGGTTCAAGTTATGCACAATCATAAACCCACTCGCAGCTGTCGCAACGTCTTAAAACTCCGAGCGACTCGAAACGGTTTCACTAACCACAATATTTGCACCGCTGAGTGTAAAAACATTAGCAGACTTCTGTATGACGGCCCTTTTGAACTGCGAGGGCAAGTGTTCGTGTGTGTGTGGCGGCAAAAACAATTCCCAGCGAACCTGAGATGTGTGTGYGCGCTACAGCCGTTTGTCATGGAAGGTTGAAGGCCGTCCTCAAGGGGATTTTAGACCAGTAAAGGCAACTTGCTTAAGGTGTAGGTGAAACATGTGTAGTCTTTTTTTCTTTTTCTTTTTTTGTATTTACACTCGCTCCTACACACACACACACACAGGTACGTGCCTGTTCACTCACGAGTACGAGTTATGTGGGAAAAGAGACAGACGCACATTCCTGTGGTGGCCCTCAAAGGAAAGGGAATTCCCAAATCCTGAAAAATAACACACTCTCCTGATGAAAATCCACAGAAATGTTTTAATATGAGTCGCGGGACTCTTTGCACAAGACTTATGGAAGGACCGCATGCAAACATGAGCCATAATTTATCAGAATGCTTTACAGCCTGCYACAACCGAGTATGAAAACTGAAACGAGATCTTTCATGAAGCGGTAGGTTTTATGCTAAAGGTGTAATGCTTCTGAACATATAGAGCGGGCCAAGCTTTGATTTTTTTTGGCTGTGTTTGTTGTAAAAATGCCAATCTGAGTCTATTTCAACGGTTTACATCACTTTCTAGCACTGATTTTGCTTTTAAAAACTTGTTCTCCCTCCGAATCTTCTCATTCCTCTAAGTCTTGTGTAGAACACGTTATCCAGGCTAAACTTCGGGGAGAAAATGTCCTTTCAGTGTTTTAGCTAAATTTTCTTTATTTTTTTATTTTTTTATGCTCCAACCTCACTCTGACAGAAACGGTGACTGTTTGGTTTTTACTGCCACTGAAATGCTGCCAAATGGAATTCATCGTGCTGGTTTGAAAGGAAAGCAAAAGCCCTGAGTGGGGCGAGGTCACTCAAAACCACCGAGAGGAGGAGTGTCCACCTTTAAAGACTGTCGAACTTTGATTCCCCTGAATGTACCAGTCGGCCATGTCCTGTCAGCGCATTCACGCAGAGATGCTGACGTGCTCGACAGGGAGCTCAGAAAATAAAACTATTTCTGGTTGTTTGTCAGTCTGTGCCATAACTTTTAGGTCCATCCTATTTATGAAGCAAAAGATCGATTAACACCTTAATAAGATTAAATATTTTAAAACTAGCTCTGAGTTCAGTCTTTTGAGCAGTATACACATTTATATAAGTGTAGTTTTATTTTGATACTAGTAAATACACGTGTAAGTAATAACAAGGCAAAAAGCATATTTTTCAGCAAATTTAATGTAAATTTATCAGATTTTGAAAACAGACTTCTGTAAAATAAATGTTTCTATAATAATAAACTAATTCTTCATGTTATAATTAGCACCTATGTTTGCAGCTTTTAATAAGCTTTAGTAATACAGCGGGTAAAATAAGTATTGAACACGTCACCATTTTTCTCAGTAAATATATTAATAGAGGTGCTAATGACATGAAATTTTCACCAGATGTTGGTAACAACCCAAGTGATCCATACATACAAAGAAATCAAACCATAAATGTYCAGAAATGRWKWTWTKTRWWAWWRTG